GGAGGAGGAGGAGGAGGAGGAGGAGGAGGAGGAGGAGTAGTGGGGAATCAAACCCGGTTCTCCCAGATCAGAGTCCACCGCTCTTAACCACACTGCACCACAGCTGGCTCTCTTTACACAACCCATTCCTGTGCACTGAAGTCCTTGCTATTTCTTCCCCAGTGACTATCTGGAAATCTAAATAATGCAAAACAAATAGCAAAAATTCTTGCCAGCACGACGGGCATAGAAAAAGGGTTCTCCGATGGCAAAAATGCACAATGTTGAGAGTACCTTACTTTTCAGTATCCAAGACTCACACGAGTCTCCTTGTATTGTGAAGGTGCTTAAGCTTCCCCTTCACTACCTCAGCAGAAGCCCACAGCTGCACCCAACACTCACTTCCTGTTCTGCTGCTGCCTCTGGTGTAAGAGTCGTCGGTGCTGAGGGTGAAGGTGGGTTGTGTCAGGCCTGAACATCTGCGGCTGAGGTCTAAAGAATAAAGTTCACTGTCAGGTGAGAAGCAGGTGAGGGCCCACAAACCCAGTGACTTTGTTGTCTCATGGAAATACGGCTGAAGTAAGTGGGGTACCTTAAATTCTGTAAGTGGGCCCCAGGACACGGGGAAGGGTGGTGCTGCGGTGGGGGGACAGGTGGAGGCTGTGCCCCAAAGAAGGCACGGAACCCACCGGCTGGAGGCATCATCTGCCCACCCCGGCCCTGAAGCAGCTTGGGGTCCATAGAGGCGAGAGGGTTGCTCACAAGTCCAGAGATCCGGGCAAACTGGCTGGGAGACATCCTGCCGGCCTGTGGGCACGAGACAGAGAAAGAAACGTCACCGTTCTGCCAGATACAGCACCGTGGGATAATGCCGAGCAGAGACATTGCTTACAGCTCTTCTGTTCCAAGTGGAAAGCGACACAAACACATGCAGTCAAGAACACAGAGAAAAACCATGTGGCAGAAGAGCAAAGAGCCCACAGCCCATAAGCAATTTTTAGAAATCCAGAAGGAGAACACAGAAGTGGGCAGTTATTTACCTGTGCTCCTCCTAGCAGCTGAGCTCTCTGGAGGTGGGTGAGGACAGGAGTAATGCTGGGAGGGAACGGGTGGCCCAGGAGGGAGGAGTTCTGACAAGAGAAAAACAGAACACACTAATTCTAAACCAACTAGCCCAATGGGAATGTTGTAAGGACACAAAGCAGATGACAAGAGAAAGACACGTAAAATACAGAAGCTACAATCATCTGCATCAGGTAACACAGAAGCAAAGATTCAAGCGAACATTCAAGACACTGGTCATTCCTATCAGACAGAATAGAAAGGATGGGGATGGGAGAGTGATAAAGAAAAAATATAGTGGCAGACAATGTGTTCCAACAATGGAGGGTCATAAAAACCATAATCATATGCTGAAAGGGCGGTAATCATGAATTTCGCCACTATATCTAATAGCCAAGTGCTGGCCCCTCAAGAGGATACTGAAATGCACAGCTATTATTTAGGGCTTTGCAAACCTTGGTGAACCCCTCAGGTTTCCAGAAAAATGCAATACTGGAAAATAGAAAAACACAGGTGCACACTAGCCTCAATATAAAAAAACCAAACTGCTTTGATATCTGAACTTGGATGGCACGGGAAATTCAGACACACACAATCTATGTTTTGTTGTGATGCCAATAAAGGTAGCTGATGATGATGAAGACACACACAAATTAAGGATCTTCTTATATTCAGCATATGTGCAGCTCCACTGTTCCAGCTTGGAGAAATGAGGCTGCAGCCATCTCCATGCCATCTCTGCCAGCACCGTGGTCCCGATCTTAATGGGACCCTGCAGAATAATATTTGGGGAATTAAGCTCCCCTATAGCCGCCATGAAGCTGCAGGGAAAGGAAACGGGATTGGGAGAACTGTAACCCAACTTGTGGCCAAACATATTGTGCACTTTCGCTCTAAGACTAGATATTAGAAAAATGAACCAAACACACACAAGTACTCAGTCAGTACTACCGTGACATTGCAGAGTTGGTTCGGGGACATACTGTCACTGAAGGGACTTGGGTAACGCTGCTGAATGGGGACTCTGATATGAACAGGCTTTGGACACAGGATCTATGGAACAAAGGGGGGGGGAACCCAAATTAGCAAGGCAAAGATCTGTCTTAAGCCGTGAACAACCGAATAATTTGTCAAGCTTCCAAATACAAGGCTGCTTCTTCAACATTAACAGGGTTAGCTTATTTAATTAGCACTTCCTCATCATGATACTTAAAATGTAAAACAGCAAAGATCAAAAGACTGACAATAGAAGCACTTCCTAAGAAGCAGGTGAGTCCAACATCCCATAGAGCATGCAACACACCCTTGGACAGAGGTCAAGTCCTTGCCAGGTTTTTTTTTTAATACTACCTTTCACAGAACAAACGTTGGGTGGCAAACATCAAGTTTCAGGCACTAAAAGAGATTCCCCATTCTGCCAGATACAGACAGAAAACAAGCAAGGTTTTTAGGTGAGCCAGGACATCAGAGCACAAAAAGTAGACCGGAGAGAGAGGAGTGCAAACGTGCACACAAGCATTCCACAGGAGACCAAGTAGTTACAGCAGAAAATGCTCACCTATGCAGATGCTGAGCTAAAGGTCATCCATTATGTTGCACAGCAGAGCACCTGTTCTCTCCTCCCTTCCCCTCCACAACTCCCCACTTACTGTCTGCCACAGGAGGGCAAAACGAGAAGCAATACCTGCTGGTTAAAGTTGGGCATGGTGGGCTGCTTAGGAGGCGTCCCAATGGGAACAGCTCTGACAGGAGGGCTGCCAATGACTGGTGAGGATGACCGCCTGGGCAGGGCACGCTCCGAGACATCCCGCTCCTCCTCCTCTCGAGCCTGTGGAGTCCTCTGTGGCAGGGCGTACTCCAGCACTGACACAGAGGGGACCTCCTGCACACAAGAGGGGGGGGGGGGGGGACACATCCACTAGTTACTTTTTAGAAACTCTGTATTTGGAGAAAGAGACACAGGCAGGCTGTAGAGTAACACAAACTGGTTCTCAAGGCGTAGGAACGCTAGCAACATTTGTTCAAAGCCAGCACATGAAAAAGTACTTTGTCGAAAGTGCAGATCAGGAATACAAAATGTAAATTCCCAGTTGAGATTTAGGATCATACTTTGGAATACAGCCCTGGACACTGGAGGCTAACTTGGGAGTAATGACACTTTAGTTCTTTGAAAAAATGCATCAGCTCTTCTTTGTGCACGATATAGACAGATCCAAGTAGACTCGGACCCTCTCTTCCACAGCACAGTAGAGTGATCAGATGACCAGATGTGCAAGTGGTAGTCGAGAGAGAGGGTACTAGTGTACTCGGCCCACCCAAAACTGTTGCAATAAAGCAAGATACGGCCAGTCCAATCACTTTCTCAAGGAGAGCTTCTATTCCTTTCGCTGTGGCTTTGCTGTATCAGTACAGGCACCTTCCATTACCCCCACACCATCCCTTCCCTTCCCCCCATTTGTGTAATTTAAGATTGTCTTTTCCCAGAAGACTTACAGAACCACAGTCTTCTGTAAAGAACACAACCTCACATAAACATTAAATGACTGAAGAAAAGGGGGGGAAACAGCTCGTTGGAAAAGCTCAGCATTCTTTTAAGGGAACAAAAGGGAAACAGAGCACTGCACCTGGGTGAGAAGGGGTCCTGTAATGCGTCTGAGAACAGACGGGCCATCCCAGATACTTGAGTTGAGGCCACCTGACTGCTGCAAAGACAGACATGCAGGGTTACAACTACAGGAAGAATCCTCCTGCCTCCAGAACCCACCATGGTTAGGTTATCCCTTCTCTGTTGCTCTCTGACCCTATTATCACGTGCTACACACCTGTACCAGGGGGCGCGTTTGCACAGCCTGCATGATAGCTGGGTCTTCCAGCTCATTATCAATCACCAGCTTGCTCAACCTCTCTGCCAGATTCTCTTCATGGTCTCCCAAGAGGTCCATCTCATCCGTGACTGTCTGATCCTCTTGCTCTCCTGAGGATGTGGGCTTCTCTTCCAACTCTGCCAGTCGTTCATGCGCTTCCTGCCAATCATCATCTACAAAGGAGAAGAGACGGCATTTGTTTGGCCTTCTTGTCATAATCCTCACTCCTTCTTTCAGAGGTCCAGCACCTGCATACACCTCGCAGGCAAAAAACCTGAAATAGCACATGACTTCACAGACCACCTGAACCACAGCAATGCAATCCAGGACTGTGCATGATATAGGGCTAGTCCATAATCCATAGGTGAGAAGTGAGGACACATCAGTCCATCCCACCAGAACAGAACATATGCAAGAGCAATGGGAATGGGAAAACTGGAATATCTGTTATACAAACTCACCAACTGCACCAGCTCCAAATGTGTCATCATTGAACTGGTCAATATCGTCATCTTCCTCAGCCAAGGTTTGAAAGGCTTCTTCATCCTCATCCAGAGGACAATCCTCAAGGGACTTTAAAGGGAAAAACAATTTAAATATTTCAGTTGTCTAGCATTTTAAAATATTCTTCCATAAGCAAGAAGGATATAAGATTGTTTAATTTGGCAGATACTCCCCACCTCTCTGCAAATATGGTAAAGATTGTTCCCTTGTGCCTATGACTCTGGACTAAGTATTCTTTATGAGGAGGAATCAAACCCATGAGACAAATAACATCAGGGTAGGAAAATCCATACAGTGGTGCAGCTTGCCACTGCAACTGAAAACTGCCTCCCCTGTTATAAACCAAGATTAACCACTCTTCCACAAGGAGAGCATTGATGTGTTCCCACTTTCTGCACATGCATGAGTACATGAGGAAAGGGGCACCTCATATCTCAAACATTCATACAACAACATACTTATTTACATGCACTCCTCCAAAAATCCACATGCCCATTCCCCAAGAGATAGCTAAAGCATTTAAACCCAAAAAGCCTCCTCACTAAAGCAGGTCTTCAAAATCTGTGCTCCACCAAGATGGCAGCCACCCCCCCCACCAGGTATATAAGATGACTGTGGTCCCCAAGGGCCCCAAGAAGAAGCCACTCGAGGCTGCCACCCACCCAGAGGGCAGAAAACACGGGAACGGTCACACACACAAATGGTCCAAATATTCAACTGGTGGGCAGCGTTTGGCTTGCTGAGTCAAAAATACTGCACAACTGGACCAGAGGTTGCAACCCACAGAGCACCACCGGCTAGTATACCCCCAGTCCAGTAGATTACGACAAAACAAAACTACATTGTACAAGTGGCTTGCTTCTCATCAAGACATGAAAAATATATTCCCAGGAGCTAACACAAGATTTTTAACCTGCAGGATGACCAAATGGCTTTAATTTCCACCAGCCTTTCTGACCGTACAACAGAGGTGCATGGATTTTAAAAAACTACAGTTCAGACAAGAAGCCTTTGAAAAAATGTTATGTCACATCAAGCCAACAGCCATCTTCCCGACTCTTAACACTGCTATATTTTCCCACCCTCTTTCCCCCAAGGTGCTGCATTCCCTAGCAAGCATGGATCCATGTGAATGTCATGAAATTTAAACAGGGCTGTTAACATGTGGGGTACATGTAGCAGAACAAATGTGCCAGTAAGCAGCCCTTTCTGTTCCTATTTGCAAGAATGTAGGCTGTGGTTACTTAAATTATGGTTACTTAGCTCACAACCTGCATTTTCAGAAAAGCATGTGAATGTTAGAAAATGTTGTATTCTATGCACAAGCAAGGCTGCAGCCCACAGACCTTTTACAATGCAGCAGTTCTGTTGGCTTTAAAGAACACGGGAATGTTCAGAAAAGGTGGTTTAAGGACCCAAACCCAAATATTCATTTCCCCTGAGGCACTATCCTCCCACACAAGAAGGGTAATAAATACTTCCTTAAACAACGGCATAATTTAGCAGCTCTCAAATTCTTGCTTCTTTTTTGCTATGTCAAGATATGTCTGTTATAAAGAGTGCTTTAACTCATGAGCTGCATTTGGATAAAATATTTTAGTTTCAGACCATGAGCACTAAGAAGCCTTTACTCAGTGCTCCTTAAAAATGACTACACAAGATATGCTGGATAGAGATAAGCATGAAAAGAGGATGTACACCAAGCTAAAACTGGAGTAAGATTGGAATTTTTCTGAATAATGCAAATACAGACACCTGTCTCTCATTATGGTTATTTTTAAAAGACACAAGCACATTTTGGCAAATAAGCCAGAATTTAAGTGCATGTGAAAATCCAATGTGGGAAACAGAGAAGATAACCTGATAGAGGAATGTCCACCCAGAGCCTACCCATAAATTTGGGTGCAGTAAACCCCAGCGGCATTATTTCATTATGTCAGCATCCTACCATAACCCTACATTATATCCTCACAGTATATTGTATGGATAGAAACTCTGTGCAGGCGGAAGCATAATATGTACCCCTTGGGGGGGGGAGGGGGAAGAAGGATGAAAAGTCCATCTTACATTTCTTGGCCAAAAGCATGGGTTGCCAAACTGCGGCTCGGGAACCCCATGTGGGTCTTTCACACATATTTTGCGGCTTCCGGCAGGGCGGCTGGGGAAGCGATGGGGAGGCATCCTTTTTCTCCTTCCCTCCCCACTCCCTCCCTCCTATTTGCTTTCTTTGTTTCTCTCTCTTTCCACCTCCTTCATTCTTTCTGTCCACCTCTCTCTTTTTCTCTCCCTCTTAGACAAATAAATATCACTAGGAAACAAATATCATTGGACAAATAAATATTATCATCAATATCTGTTTTGACCGCTTTGGTTTTCATTTTTGGCATTTAATGCTAATGAAAAGTCAATACAACAGTGGCCCCGGTCACACGCGCAGGAAACTGCGGGGGAGAAGTGTGGCTGTTTGCCCCGGGGCAAACTAACACGCAGTAAAGTGATCATACCTCCTGTGGAGGTTCTGTGGAGGTACCGTGGAGCTTCCGTGGTTACGGAGAGGCGTCGATCACAACACATGCCTGCGCGCAACGAAGAAGCGCGCGGCGCGGCGAACTGGGTTTCTTTTTTTGTGTACACTACGAATGCGCATGCTCCGTTGAGTGCTTATGCGCAACCACGGAGACTTGGGGGGAAAAAAAATCTTCTTCGCAAGGGGACATGGGCGGGCGCCGGATGCCACCGGAAACGCGATCAGACGCCCGCCCTTGCCCCGCAGTTTCCGGAAACTAGTACCTCCGAGGTACTAGTTTTTTGCTCCGTTTTATCGGCGGTTCGCCACAGTTCAACCACGGGAGCTCTACGCTCCCCAGATGTTGCCGTGTGATCGTGCCAGGTAACTCCGCCTCTCTTCCGTCTATTTAGCGTGGCTTCTGCTCCGTGTGAACGGGGCCAGTATATTGCAAATATATAACCTTCCAAATGTAATCCATGGGCCGCTTTGGACCGACTTTAACGGAAGGGAGCAAATATATATTCAGGACGTTGCACAAGATAGGAGTCATCCAAGAAAATAAATCCTCACCCTGGTACAAATTGCTCAGATCAGATCATTGAAGGGCCCAATACTTAACAAAGATCTCATTCAGCAAACTATGTTCCGCACTAACTTCAATCTGTTTCCAGTCAATGCAATCAGCAATGCTTGAAGGCCGTTATACCAACACACCTGTTGCCCAGCGTCTCTGCCCATGTGGAGATCCAGTGCCAGAAGATCTGTGCCATTACCTGTTATTCTGTCTACTCTACCCTAGGAAGAAATTCCTAGACCCAATCTTGGCCTCCTTAGGTACCAGAACAGAAACTGAAAAAATTCTACTTCTACTAGCAGACGTAGAGGCCCCCTTTGCTCTCGCTGCAGAGAAAATTCGGAAGAAAATAGTAGCAGCACCAGAGCTCGATTACTAATGGAAGTCTGGATGGGAGAGATGGAATTATTATTATGTTTTATTGTGTCCTTAGTTTTTAATTCTTCTGGTTTTAGAAGTTCATACAGATGTTATCGTTATATTGTTCTGTCATTGTAACGGCCTATGGCTAAAGGCAATAAAATGAAACCCGAACCAGCAAACCTGCATATGTATATTTTTAAGGAAAACATGTGTATAATATTTGTCCATGTCTTGTGGCTCTCAAACATCTGACGTTTATTCTGTGTGGCTCTTACCTTGAGCATGTTTGGCCACCCTTGGCCTAAAGCAAAGTCTGTCAATTTCACTTGTGACATCATATGAGGGAAAAGGAAACCAGCATTGATTGAGCCTTCACCTTCCTAGGACTCTAGCTCAAGGCAGACTCTGAAGATCCTGTTGTTAAGTTCACTTTCCATTGGTGATGGAATACTTGGCCACTTAGATCACTTTAAAAAAAAAGAAATCTCACAATATGCCAGTTTGATGTCTATCATGTGGATTAGAGTCTCTACTCAGGAACAATCCACTCTGAGACAGTTAACAGTTGTGATCAGTGCTTGAGCTATCTCACAATAGATGTGTGATCTCAGAATACATGGATTCCCACAAAAGAGTTACAACTGAGCAATTCTTGTATGCATAGGGGGGAGATGGAAAAGCCCTTTAAAGTATGCTATTATAATGAAAGCAATTCCTTTGATTTGCGTATCGTGGCAGTAATATGAAGACAAACTAAGAGCTTATTTTCATTGTATTTCTAGTCACATTCTTACAGTATACATGCAAGACCAGACCATTATGTTTCACATTATCTGAATCAAGACAATTAATACTTCAGTTCAGTGCACTGAATCACTTTTCCAGATTACAATTCACCAGAAATAAGCAGGCACTGAAAAAATTACAGAAACTTTTTGAACCACCATTCTTACATAGCAGAGTATCTGAAGGACATTCATTAGTAACAAATCTGGGTTACATGAACTGCCTAGCAGCCTCACACATCACAAAACTTGGAGACATGATGAAGCAACATTTGACTCAGCCCACTATTGGGAACTCCATCCATTATACTCCCAGGAGAACCTACTGCATTAAACTAGCATACTGCAGTTGGTTGGTTGGGGTTTGTTTTTTTGGGGGGGAGGAGGTTGCCATCAAGTCACAACCAACGTACGGCAACCCCATGGGGTTTTCAAGGCAAAAGACATTCAGAGGTGGTTTGCCACTGCCTGCCTCTGTGATGCAACTCTGGCATTCCTTGGTGGTCTCTCATCCAACTACTAATCAGGGCTGACCCTGATTAGCTTCTTCAGATCCGACAAGGTACAACTAGCCTGGGCTATCCAGGTCAGGAAGCAGACTGTACAGGGATGCTCAAATCACTACTGGAATACAGTCTGCTACAGGTTTTAATGCAGTCCAAGTTGCCTATGCCTAATTTAAGAAAGTTGCCCTAGAGCCTTCATTTTATAATCATGAAAACCTCTTGTACAGATCATAAGACTAATAACCATCTTCATGTTTCCCTTGCTACACTGGCCTGTCGCAGTGCAGCCTCCGCATGCAGACACTACAAAGAAAGCACACTAAAATGTCAAAACATTACTGGAACTGTCCCACTGTTGTTTTACTTTTCACTTTACCTTAGCAAAGCTGTTTCTAATGTTAACTTTTGCAGATAAATGATAACTCTTGTGATATACAAGAACACCCTGCTTAAATATTCACAAAATTGATTCTTCTCTACAGGCAAGCCAGTTCCATCTCTCACCCATTCACATGAAGTGTCTCTACATGCAGAAGCACTGCATTCACTCATAAATGTCAGTCTTTGCTACAGTAGCAGGACGTTAACTGCTGGCTTTAGTCCATAGAATTACATGGCTAGGGCTCTGCCAACCAACTCCTGTTGCTCAAACCCTCATGTCTGACTAGCCTACCAGTCCTCACATATGTATTCTCATACAGAGGGGACTATACATCCTCTGTATTTTAGTGTATTTCTTTCTCAGAACAGTGTATCAGAATACTGAATGTAATGCAAGGAATATTAGAATATCTAGCTGAGAACACTCTACCCACCTCAAAAAAGTTTTTAAAAAGGCTGCTAAGTGATCTCCACACCTGAAAGGACTGAATGGAAAATCTCAAGTCTTATTTTGACATATTTATTGCTTTACCACGGTTGACCTTATAACCGTAGCTTGTTATTTCGTTTCGTGTCGCATATCTTAAAACATCTTCATGAAGTTACATGTTGATCTGCTGTTCATCCCGTCTATAATTTTGAACCTTCCCTTCCCTTCCCATGTATTGGGGGAAAGGTGGGCCTTGCACACGAAAGCTCATACCTCGAGCAAGACTCTGTCGGTCTGAAAGGTGCCCCCCCGCTGGACTCTGAATGTGTCCTGCTGCTTCAGACCCACAGGGCCGCCCCACCTGCCTCCAGCCTACCGGGCGTCTGTGACCCCCTGCGCTGGAAACGCATTTCGCCCTCGGACCCACCACCAGTGTTCCCTCTAAGCTGAGTTAGTGTGAGCTAGCTCTCAGTTTTTTAGCCTTCAGCTCACAGATTTTTGTCTTAGCTCAGGAAGGAGGGCTCCAGAGAAATGTAATTTATGCAGTAGCCAAATAGTTCGCTCACCATTTTAATGCCAGTAGCTCACGAATTAGAATTTTTGCTCACAAGACTCCACCGTTTCGGAGCCTGTACACAACATGCGGTGCGGCAGGCACAGCAGCCACGCGAGGCCACTGCGTCGGCCATTCACTCCCGCACGAAGTGGCCCCTCAGGGACAGAAAACAACGCCGCCGCCGCCGCCCCCCCCCCCCGGAAGGGCGGCTGACGCGAAAGCCGTTAAGAGAGGCCTCGGGCTGCCCCACTGAGGCAGCTGCTGCTTGGCTTAAAGAGCTCGTTCCCGACAGACCCCCGCCAGCGCCTTCCGCGGGCCGCCCCCCTTCCGGAGCCCGGACTGGCCGCCCGTCCCACCGCCCCGCCCCGCCCCGCCGTCCGGAGACCCTTCGGCCCTCGGGCGCCCCCGGAAAGTTCGGAAAGGAGGCGAAGCGCCAGGAGCCTCCGGAGGGGTCAAAGGTCACCGCGAGAGGGGGGGGCCCTGGCCGCGCCGCCCTCCTCCTCGGCGCGGTCGAGTCGGGCCCGGCCCCACCCGCGTCCCGTGAGCCCGCGGCAGGTCCTCACCTGGTAGCGGAACATGATGCGTGCGCAGGGCGCGGAGTCCTCCCCCCCTCCCCCACCGCCGCCCGGGAGGCTCCGCGCGGACCCTACCACTCCGGCTCCAGGTCCCCACCCCTCGCTACGCGCCTTGCGTCCTGACGTAACGGCCCAAGTCAACCACACAGATTTCCTCCTGCGTGGGTACATGTACTGCGCACGCGCACTGGTTAGCGCCGTCCTGGTCCCGCTACCGCTCGGGTCTTCCGTGAGGGGGCGGGGCCCCTTAAAGGGCCGGTGCGCCGCCGCTCCCCCGGGCGGGAGGAAGTTTCCGCCGAGGCCTCTGAGGCGTCGGTTAACTCACTGTGTGGTCAGAGACCCCCCCCTCCCTCCCTCCCTCGGTGGGCTTTTCAGTTCCCAGGAGAACCGAGAGCCTGCGGCCCCCCCCGTTGCTGTCGCTACACACCCGCCCGTCCACCCCCAAGCCCCGAGTGCTGAGACCTGCTGGGACTCGCTTCACTAGCTCCCCTCATAAGAGCCGGACTTCAGCAGGCTAACCCTGGAGGGCAGTTGTTGTCTGGATTCCTGATTGATGAAATTTGGGGTTGAGTGAGCAGGAAGCTACTCCTCTAAACCCTGGATCTGAGTGTCCCTGTGTTTCCTGACCAATGTTCCCTCTAAGCTGTGGAGTCTTGTGAGCAAAAATTCTACTTTGTGAGCTCCTGGCATTAAAGTAGTGAGCAAGTGATTTGGCTGCTGCATAAATTAGTTTGCTCTGGAGCCCTCCTTCCTGAGCGGAGACAAAAATGTGTGAGCCGAAGGCTAAAAAACTGTGAGCTAGCCCACACTGAGTCAGCTTAGAGGGAACACTGTTCCTGACACATACTGCCGGGGGCAGACGAAGGCTCACGGGTGCCCTCAGCACTGACCAGTCTTGGGCCCCCCCCCTCCTTTCGACACTGACCCCCCCCCTCCATCTTAGTGGTTGACCTACCTGGCCAGATCTACAATGCAGGGTGCAGCAATACAAAAATTTACTCATAGGATAACACCATAGACTGTGCAAACGAAGCTTTTCACCCTTTCCCCAACGTTGTGGTGCCCCCTTCGGCCCTGATGACCGAAGCACCTGCTCAGTCGGCTTCGTGGTTCATCCGCCCCTGCATACTGCCTTGTACTATTTTCACACTGTTGCACAGCATTTTAAGATGTGAGGGATTCTGCCTCCCTCACCGTTGAAAACATCCTTTCTTTCTGTGTGTGCCTTCATTAGGTGCAGAGAAGGTATGTTTTCTTCTCTCATCATAATTCCCTACAAACATTTTAGTATAAAAGAGGCCAGGTTCTTTGAGGTATTGTAGTATATGGGGGAAACAGGAATTAGAATGAGAGATGAAAGCCATGAGATGTGCCCCCTGGTCTCATTCCCTTGCCCCACCACTGCACCGTAGGGCTAATCCTTAACTGCCCTCAACATTTCATGACTCCTGCAGGGAAATGAACTTTTTAAATATATGCATGTGTCTGGAATGTTTTAATTTACAAATTAATGTTTTCCTGCATATCTGGGGAGTCAAGTATGCAGAAAGAAACCTCTCCCTCCTCTGAGGGTGATTTTGTTTCTCTGCTGCTAGGGGATCATCCCAGTCCCTATTCAGAGTTATACGGCCCATCTAGAATCATGGAGAGGCAGATGCCAAGCAACCAGCGGTTCCTGCCGGGTTGCAGTGGCCTCAGACCCCTGAATGAAATTTTCTGGAGCTTTGGGGTTGGGTGTCATTAACAGGCCGATGAAACCCAGCTCTGTATTTCATTATCCAAGCCTCCAGATGCATCCATCTTGGTTCTGAATCGGGGCTTTGAGGCTGTGTTCAGGTGGTTAAGGCAGAGCAAGCTGGTTCTGAATCCAGACAAGACAAAAGTTATGCAGGTTGAGAAGGCTGATATTCTAGAGGAATTGAATCCACTTGTCCTAGATGGCATGACATTGGGATTTTCAGAGCAGGTTAAGAACTTGGGGTTGCTCATGGACCCTGCCTTGCTGTTTGACAGGCAGGTTGGCATGGTGGTTAGGAACACCTATCAGTTGCAGCTGATTGGACAGCTGTCTTGCCACCTAGACTCAGCCCAGTCTGGTCATGCTGATCCATGCTTCTATAACCTCATGGTTGGATTCCTGCAACATGCCAGGCACCTTGTGTGGCACTAAAAACTGTTTGAGTAGGTCAGTTTCCCCATACTTGCCTTCCCCATTTTTTCTTTAACTGACACTTCCCTCAACATTCCGTATTTTCTGAAGGAACAGCTCAGGGTTGTAAGAAAGGAGGACAATACATTTCCAAAACCTCACCCTGCACCAAAAATCAGGAAGGATGGAGGCAAAGCAGAACCTCACCTTCCTCCACTGCAAAGCAAGAATATCTTCTTGTCTCCTCAATAGATAGAAGCCAGGATCAATTCAGAGTAACATATGATTAAGGGGGACTTCTATAAAGGTTTCTGAACATACAGAACTTTCTCTCCCAAAACCAGGGCACCCAATGACACTGAGGAGCAGTCAGGGCTGAGAAAAGAAAACACTTCTTTATGCAATTAACTTTTGGAACTCACTGCCACAAGAAATATTGTTTAGCATGATCTTCGACTGATTGGAAAGTAGATTAGACAAATATATGGCCTACATTTTCAAAGACAGTATACTACTGAATGCCCACTGCCAGAATGCAACAGGGGAGGCCGTAGCCTCTTTGCCTCTATTGGGAATGGTATTCTGGGGCCTCTTGATGGCCACTATGAGAAACTGGATGCTGGACTAGAAGGACCATTGGTCTGATCCTGCAGAGCTGTCTTTCTATTCTTATGCGGAGGGCCCATAGCTGAAAAAGTGAATGTGAGCCTGCCGCGTGCTCTATAAGAAGCAGCTCTTTACTTTCCCTTCCTTCGTAGTGCCCATTGCCACAGCAAAAGCAAGAGAACGAAGATGAAGCAGCTGGAAAGCCAAGGAGGGGCAAAGAGGGGGGGTGCAGAACAGAGCGGAACTTTCCCCCCACCCCACTTTCATTTCAATGGCCCTTTAACGAATACCCGAGTAATAAGCCTTTGTAGTATTGGAAGTTTTAAATCAGAATGCTTACAATATTGTAGACACTAAAAAGGCTTTACTCAAACGATAAGTCTATTGGATTCAGAGATTTCAAATCTTAAATCACCAAAGTCTAAATGCAGACATGGACCTTTCATGCTTTTTAGGATAGGTTTTCCTTGTTATATAGTGTTTAAGTCTGAATAAGTATAAGTACTGTAACTTCATGATGCAGCCAAATTGGATCATGTTCCCTTTAAATAAAATATTCGAGGAATGTATATAGGTTTACAACATATCGGAATGCTAAGGCATTCTAACACTTGGTAGCGCAGAGCCGATTGGATTGGAGCTTGATATGAAGATTGTTGTTTCCTATTTGGTGAGTGCCTGTCTCCTTATGAATCCTCTCGTAGAATAAGTTAAATAATGATTATACCATCTTATAATGGTTTGTAAAATATAAATGACTAGGAAAAAGACCCGTTGTGGAAATAAATACAACGACCTCTAGAAAGAGGCTCTGGGCAGGTGCAGCAAGCCAAAGGAATGCACGGAGGTGTGGCCTAATATGCTAATGAGTTCTTGCTGGCCTTTTTCTACAAAAAGGCCCTGCTGAAGCCCTATCTCTCCCCCCCAAGACTTAGCTACGGTGACCCATGCAATGGTCATTTCCAGGCTTGATTAATGCAATTCACTCTGCATAGACTTACCCTTGAGGCTGGCCTGGAAATTACAGCTGGTGCAAAATGTGGCAGTGTGCCTGCTGACGTCAGCGCCTGTGCGGGCTCACATTCGGCATGTGTTCCGCCAACTGCATCGGTTACCAGTTGAGTGCCGGATTTGCTTCAAGGTGCTGGTAATAACCTTCAAAGACTTATACGGCCCGGGACCAACATATCTAAGGTACCACCTCTTCCCGTACATGCCTCGAAGAGGGTTACACTCTAAGGATCAACATCTCCTGGAGGTCCCTGGCCCGAAAGACGTCCGCCTTGCGTCGACCAGGGCCAGGGCTTCCTCCGCCCAGGCCCCTGCCTGGTGGAACAGGCTCCCCATTGAGATCATGGCCCTGCGGGATCATTTTCCATTCCACAGGGCCATTCCACAGGGCCAAGAGCTCTTCCGCCAGGCCTTTGGCTGAGGCAGCGGGTGCCCATCTATGCCCCCCCCCTGAGGTTGCTGTAGGGTTGCCAAGTCCCGCAAACTCACCGGCGAGGGAGGCTCCGACGGCTCCGGGAGCCAAATCCAGATGCGCGTGTGTGCAAAGTGCACGTACGCCGCCAACATGTTAACGGAAGTGACGTGCGATGTTGCCCACATTGGGGGCGTGGCCCCAATCATCAGGGGGGAAACCATAGACATGGGCGACGTGGTTGTGTCACCTCCGGTGACGCAGCCACGCTGCTCTTCGGGGGGCGGAGTCCCCCCCGGGGCCCGATTCCGCGGCGGCGGAAATCGGGCCTCCAAAGTGGGGGTTTCCCCGCCCCCCACCCCCACTTTGCAGCCCTAGGTTGCTGTCACCCACCCACTGATAACCTGCCATTATTTCATCTGTACCAACAGGCCAGAATCTCTTGTAACCAGCTGATTTCTGTTTGCTAAGCTGTAACCACCAATTTTAATATTTATACTGTGTTTTTAAATTTCAGTTGTATTTATCATAATATGATGTTATGTTATGAGCCCATTCACGGGATGGGCGGGGTATAAATACAATCAATCAATCAGTGAAACATGAATCTGAGGAATGGGGTGGCCTTGGAGTCAGGGGGGAATGTGGCATTTATTCTGTTTCATTCACAACCTTGAGAATACCATTTACTTTAAGGATGAATTAGCCCTTCTTTTATACCACAAACTATTTGTATGAGTTGGTGTGGTATTGTACGGTAACTCAAAATTCTCCTTTAGTCCTATTCTAATCCCCTGAGAAATCTCCAGCCCAATTCCCTGACAGATCCTTCTTTTTCTTTGGCACCATTTGTATAGCATGTCATGTTGATTAAGTATCTTTCATTTGGGCAGATCTTTCACTGAATA